GTCCTGTGACTAGAAACCTATATTGTTACATCATATCCAACAAGTGGACTTCAGGCTTTGATTTTTGCCCTGCACAAAACAATGTGGCTTTCACTTAAGGCAGTGATTCTCAGCCTTCTTTAAAACTCAAAGCACCCTTCAGAAAAAGCCAGCTCTCATTTTTATCTCATTTTTTTTACTACAGAAAAAAAATTGAGTTATTTTTTTAAAAAACTCAGGAAGACCACAACAGGCTTGAATATTAATTGCCACTTTGGATTCCTACTTGAAATCTCTGGGTTTATCTTGTAAATCATGTGCGGGTATGTGCACACCTAATGGTGCTAATGCTGCATGACATCCTGAAAAGGGTATTGTTGCACTCCAGGACTCTCTGGTTGAGAATCACTGGTTTAAAGAGTTTCTGAAGTATGACAAAGATGACTAGAAAAACCAAAAGAATTCAGGTATGAAGTCTGATGCAAAAAACCTCTGAAAACTTGTTGCCTTAGTACTCCATTCATCTGCAATGTCATGGTTAGTGTCTTCTGCTGCATATTTAAGGTAATATTAAAACGCTTGCTAAACTAAATGGAACATAAAGACCAAGCCCTCCTCAAAGGGGACATATTTCCCTTGGAGATATTTGTCAGAAGACAAACTTCAGATAAATCTTATCCCTGGGATGAGGTCTTTTGTGAAAATAATTACTGCTAGAACTGGCACAGAGGACTCCACTGAGGATGCTCAAGCAGTCCTTCCCCAAAAGCTTAACAAAAGGGAAAGCTCTTCTGGAAGTGGAAAGATGGGGAAACTCCTTAAAAGGGGCTATACACCTCATTTCAGAGCGGGCCCTTTGAATAACAACTTTTTTGGCTAGCCAGTGAGACTGAGTAAAGGTACACCATGGCAGGAAGACTGCATTTACCATACCAAAAGTGTGTCATTTTTGACCACTGCATCATGTGGTTGGAGATTAAGTGGCAAGATTTTCCCTTTTCTAAATTTTGGTTGCTAAATATAAAATTAAAAGCTCACTGAGTGATGAGCCCATCCTCCCTAATCTGTGTCCACACAGCTGTTACTTCAGCCTGAGCAGGATTAATGTTGGCTTTGCAGCTCCAGGTATGGGGACTGAAGAAACAAGGAACTGAAAGTACTTGGGCCCCAGAAAAGGTCTAAATCTCTGCTTGTTTGTAAAGAGTGGTGCTTGTTTTATCTGAGACACCATGGCAGGCCAATGTTTTTCAGAATTGGTTTCCTTTCTGCAGAACCAAGAGATCAATTGTCTTGTGGAGATTGTGTGGTTCAGGAGGCCAACACTCTTTTCAGATAGATTACTAGAGAGGAAAGCAATCAAATCAGATTGGAGACACGGCCCTGAAAAGCCTTTTCTTTTGCTAACTTTAATATAGACGCTTTCATGCTAAAGTCTTCTATTTTCCTTCTGATTTTGTTCTTACTGTTTACAGAAGTTTAAACTTCAGAAAGGTGACAATGGACATGTGTCATACTGCATTCTGAGACACTGCTTGCAAAAGGAAATATAACTGCTACAAAGCAGATTAAAAGCGATCACGTCAATCTGCAACAGTCCCCTTGGAAATATTGAAATCAATGGCTCACTTGAAGGTCTTGTTCAGGACACTTCAGTCTTTGCTTTGAGATTTTTTGGTAAGTCAATTATTCTTAACAATGGACTGCTTTATAAAGCTACTGCTGTGACAAGTGATACACAGCACTCTTCAGCAAAAGGATTTCTTGGCACACTATACACCAATGTGTCTATAGAGCATACTTAGATTCATCAGATCATGGATCACTAACCCCATGAACTTTTGGAGGCACTGTGATTTTTTAATCATGTATCAGCATATCAACATTTCTTACAAAATAGATCATCAGCAAACTATTATTTCATTTTTGTTCTTTTTTCTTGTATGTAAAAGTACAATGAAACCAGCAGCCTCTTAAACCTTTATTTCCTGAGAGAAAAGAAAAACAATCCAAATAGATTTATTGCCAAAATTTGGAGAAAATATATGTTTCTGGACTGGAGTCATATAGGCCAATGGGCCTGTAGGACAAATGTTTGTAGTTTAAGTAGTAACATCATTAACCATACTGGCTCAGCATGGGGATGCTAAGAAAGCTGTAATTAAAATGACATTTTAACGCAGGATTATAAACATGAAAATTATGAAGACTCAAATCTAGCTGATTTGCTCTCAGATTAATTGGCCAAGAAATCTATGCTCAAAACAGCATAAAGTTTTGTGGCATTTCAGTGAGTTACTATGCAATATATATACCCTAAGTCAGGGCGTGTCAAACTCACCCTGGGCCCCAGGCTGGATCCAGATGGCAGGGGCTCCTCTCAGGCCAGATCCATGGGGCCTCATTTGGGCAGAAGTGTGGGTCTGGGGATGTATGGCTGCACAGAGCTCCATTCGTGCAGTGTGGAGCTGAGGGCATGCATCCTCAAGGAGCCAGGGCGTGCAGCGGTGCGGAGTTCTGGCCACACAGTGGCACAGAGCTGGGGGTCTGCAGCCACATTCAGTCAGAGCTCAGAGCTACTGCATGCTCCTGGCTCTGTGCTGCATAAACATGGCTTCAAGCAGCCACATGTCCCCAGACCCACGCTGCTGCACACCTCTGACACTGCTGACCATCTGGGAGGGACAGTGCACTTCCAGTAGCTCATCAGACTACCAGTAGGCTGGATGCTATAGTTCCACAGGTCAATCTGGCCCATGGGCTGTATGTTTGACACTTGTGCCCTAAGTAGTGATGCTGACAGAGCATGACAGAGCATGGAAGGACATACTGTATAGTTCTGAATATATTCCTAGAAAAAAGATGTGTAGCATTCAAAAATGTTATGCCAGAAGTTATCTTAAAAGTAGGTTTGTAAGTCAATGTGAGATTTATGATAACAGTGTAGAGAAATCATACCAAGTGATTTCAGTTTAATATTTAGCAAGCACTGAAAGTCAAGAACCAGGCTTGAGAAGTTGTGATCAATTATGAACAATCTCAGTGAAACAATACTAATCATCTTCTGTATCTAAAGCAGGGCTTCAGACTATTTTGTACAATGAATTTGTCACATGCGCAAATGCCACCTGGTGAATTCTGTTTGTACACAGCAACAAGACAACACGTTTTCATCTAGCTTTTATATGAAGAATTTAATTATCTATACATGTAACTAATTGTAAAGGCTGTATTACAGTTGTTAAAGCTGCAGGTTTTATATATTTATATATTTTACATTCATATCAATGAAAATACTGAAGTGCAATTGAATAAGGAGCTTCACTTGTTCTTTGCACCACATGAATGGAGAAAAGGAACTCTACAACACCGCCAGAATGAATTTTAGGAATAAAAGGAATACATAAACAGAACACAACTATAAATGTTAAAGTAATTAGTAAACTGCTATATTGTGCTTGAGGCATGGGGAGATTTTCTGTGCCAAGAGCACCTGGTATTTCAAGAGCTTGTAACTAATATTTGAAAGACAAACATGGCGTAGGCTACAGCACATTTACTACATAAACTTGACTGTAAGCTCCATTTAATATTAATTTGTATAAATTCCACAGTCTAGTTAAAAAAATGTAAACATTGGAAATTAATTGCAGGGACATATTTCTATACATTCTTTCTTGTCAGGATAATTACTTGTTCATAAAATGTTGTTCCATAGTCGCAAAAAGTAAAAATGGTAATAAAACTTCATCTAACAGGTTGAAAAAAAATCAGGTTAATTCTCTCTCACATACCACATCAATGTAGTATCCTACTGATTTCTGATATGAAAATGCAAAACAACAACAACAAAAAAGAAACCCAAACAAATCTGAGACAAACACAAAACAAATGTTTTCTTATTATTTGTAGCTACATGTAACTGCAAAATAAAATGTAATGTAGTAAGGCTAACAACACTATGCAAGGATAGCATCTGTCGCATTGGAAGGAAGTTAATTTCTTCTGTCCACAATGAATTACACACTCAACTAGGAACACCTGATACATACAATATAAGAACTACAAGGTACAAAAGACCTTTTCTGTCATTGGGCACATTTTAAGTTCTTTAAAAACTGATCTATTTCCTTCTGTTGTTTTGTTTATAGGAGAAAAAAAGAAAACAAGACATATTGACAACACCAGACAAGTGGACAATAAAAAGATACATAAAGTCTCAGATTTATGGACATTTGGAACAATTTTAATAGCACATGCAGCATTCCTTGATAGTGGGTCTTTTTGCAAGAACAAAATTGCAATGAAGAAACTTAATTTATACTTTTCCTTTAAAAGGCTAAAATATACATTTAAAAATAATTTTAAAACTATTGAAAGCACCTGTGCAAAGGTGGAAAAATTAGTTCGGTAACTATGAAAGCCACAAAAGGACCCACTATCCTGTGTAATTTTTTTTTTTTTTTTTTTGTAATTTTGCTTCTATATCTGTAGATAATTAACTCAAACATTGTGATTACATGCAACTAATGTAAAATGAGGTAAACTGCTCTGCAGTGTGTTCTTCTACTCAGAAGGCAGTAGATGATCATGCTGGAAGCCACATGATCAAGGCTGCATCTCCCATCATCCCTCTGGGCAGTGATATGGGATAGTGGGTCTCTTTGAGGACTTTCAAGCCTGAGTGGGGGATGGACAACATATGATTCCTAGAAAAAGGAGGAAAACAACACATAAGCAAAACAAAACAATGAGCAAAATTCAAGCTAGGAAAATGAGTCAGGCATGTAAACAGCATGGTGCAAAAATGATAAAAGGGAACATGCCACAAAGGGAATGGAACTAAAAATAAACAAACACAAAATAAGGTTTGCATTACAGAAGGTCTTCAAAGAGACTGGCAAGTGCAGCAGTGGCGAAGCTTTGAGTTCTGCAAACCACAGCAGAATCACAGCAATGCTGCATGTTTCTTTTTAAGATACTACATAAGCAGTAACGGTAAGAGAGTAAGCAGGGACACTTACATTGCTGGCTGGGGTCCATATCTGTTGTCAGCTTCACATAGTTGGAGGGGAAGAGACCCACTTGTCCATTCACTTCTCCTTTCCACCAGTCTGGGTCTTCCTTGTTAAGGACGTTTATGATCTGGCCTTTATTGAATGCCAGTTCATCATCGTTCTGTGCAGTGTAGTCATACATGCCAATTACTTGGCACACTGTAAGATAAATGAACAGATCTGTGGCACTGGCAACATTATAGTAAAATATAAAATTATCTGTAAGTAGTCAGTTTAGGTTGCTGTAATTGCCTTGTGCAATAATTCTTCTTTCAGAAAATACTAAAAAAAAGAGATGGCCTAAAACTTCAAGGTCCCTTTCAGAAACTCAAATTACTTTCAGATTCAATACTAGCTTTCTACAGCCATTTCTTTCCAGTTTTATATTTATTTCATTCACAAAAGATGTACTGTTTTTTTTTTATGGGGGCAAAATCCCACACATTTTGGATCTCTAGTTTTAAGATGCCTACTTTTTCGGTTAGAACTGGTCAGCTCACGTATAACTGTAGGCATTTGATTTCTAAGCTCCACTTCTACCATACAGGCTCTTTTTTGAAATACCCTGTCATGAAGGGGGAGAAAACCTCCATCTCACCTCGGCTCTATCATATATTCTTGAAGCATTAAGGCCCACGGAGATGTTTTCAATATGAAAAATCAGAAAGGAGAAAAAAATAAGTCATTCAACCCATCCTTGTGCCACTGCAGGATTGCTGCCTCCAGTAAGTATTATTATTCTCTTATCATGAAGCTCGTTATATCTGAGCAGCTATTAGATCACAGTGGGCTTTGTGCAGTTACAATTGGCCAGTTTTCTAGCTTTCCTCCCTCATTCTATGAGTCAGGCAGGGCTATGTTGTTAGCAAAAAATAAAAGCCTCTCTCTTTTTTTCTCTTGTGATCTGTGTTCCAAGCAATGGGATTTTGGTACATTGCCCGATCTTGCTGTCAGAAAACATCTATGATATTCAGCCTTAATTTCAATCCAGTACTCATTTGGACAGTTCTAAATAGCTCCTCTCTGTTTTGGGTATTTACATTTTTCAAATGATTTTATAACTTTTTAGTTATTTCTTTGCCTTTTACTCTTAATGAAAATCAGATGTTTTTAAGCTATTTTCCATTCTTACAGTGTGGAAATGATGCACATATTTCAGCAAAAAATTGATATATTATAGATATAGCATTTAGATCCTTGCAAACGGAAAAAGGTAATCTGTCATTGGTCATTATGGCTAGGGACAGAAGTTACACATAAGCTGGTTCAAGTCATCAGAAACTGGTTTAAACCTGTAGCAGAACAGAAACTCAGTGCACATAAACCAGTTTCAAAATGGCTGAAACTGGTTAAAGATGTTGAATGTGGTATCAGACTTAACTGATTTGGGTCAAGCTGGTTATGAAACTTCTGACCCAAACCCAGTCCTGGTTCAAATTAAATCTCAGTCCCCCAGCATCTCAGCATGCTTTGCAGCCCTGGACTGGGCTGTCTGCTCCAGAGAGCAGGACTGGCTCTGCCCCTCTGCTCCCTAGCTATAGCAGTGTGAGCTGGCTGACTGGGGTGGAGGGGGGCAAGCCTGGCTGGGTATGCAGCCCAGTCTGCAAGTGGGGTGGGACTGCCCCCCCAAGCAAACCCCAGCTGGGGTATAGGGCCAGGAAGGGGTATTAAACACCCCTTCCCCCACTCAAACTTAGTGCTGGCTGTGACTGTGGACTACAATTCCCAGAAGCACCTGGAAGCAGGAAGTGGAAATAATGAGCAACACTGCAGAGTCCTGCTGCTGCGATTTTGTACTACAAATCCCAGAAATCTTGGGGGCAGTAAGAATAGGAAGCAAACACACAGCCCATACTGGACGTGCCAGAGAGCCATGCTCTAGTGCTCCCCGGCTTCTGGCCTGAGTCACTCACTGCAGGCATGTGGCTGCATTTTGTGAATGTCTGTTCACTTTTGTTTCAATTTAATCTCTGCAGTTTAGACTAACCTGCAAAGACTGAATCGATTCAGCCTCAGGCTTTTTCACTGTCTGCACTTAGCCTGTGTGTCCCAACTGAAGTTGTATTCACCTAAACAAAATCTGAGTTTGGTTTGCCTAGCCAAGGTTAACAAGCATGCTTTTAAGACGTTCATGACGTACAGCACATCTACTCTTAAGTAGCTCAGCATTGAAAATAGTAGAGAAACCGCATTAGAACTGGAGCCTTACACTCTGCTTCAAGGATTTGTAAAACTGAGCTAACAAAATTCTCATGAGTGTCTTGGAACAGATTAACAATATATTATAAATGGTAAATAAAGGAAAAAAATATTTAGCTACATAAGCCACGCCATACCTATTTTAAAAGTTAATGTGTGATAGTTCCTTCATTTACATCATTCATCTCCATCTGGAAAAAATTAGTCTTATTTTATTTTAGGCATATTGAAACCTGGTGTCGTCAATCAGTATTGCCAGAATTTAGAGAAAGAGCATCCACTGGGATTCTAAACTATCCTATAAAACATGGGCTTGGATCGGACCCTCAATCCCTTCATCAGCTACAGCAGCTAATGTGAATCCTTAAGCAAAAGAGCAATCCTTGATGGACGGTAGAGGACTGATGCTAGTTGATCCTATGACACCACTCTGAAGTTTGTTAATGGAGCTCTGAATACACCCTAACCCCATCCAGGATGCCCATCAGAATGCACCCAACTGTGATCACATTCCTGGCTGTGACAGCTCCAAAAGCAATGGAGAACTATGAAAAAGGAATGAACCTGTTCTAACCACAGCTGCTGTTAAAAAGCCTTCTGTGGGCTCGGTGGTTCTCTATGATATATCTGATATGTCAGTTTGAATCAGAATCCACATTCTTCTGTAATTCTCTCCAGATCAGCACAAGCCACACACACTATGAAAACAACATGCAATTATTTAAATAAGGGGATGGCTGGAAAGAAGATTCTTACTTTTAGCAGTATGGGAATGGAACTGACAAGCTTTAAAGGGAAAGTCCTATTCTTGCCCTAATGTTAGAAAAAAGCAGAGCTCTTGATAGGTTTGGAAAGGAGCAGTGGGAAATGGAGAGAACCTCCAGGTACCAACAGGCAGAAAAATCCATGCAGGAGACTTTAAAATGCTGTCCAAAATCATGACGTCTGCATTGACAAAACCAGGAAAAAAAATATAACATAGAAAAATAGGGGGGCAGCAGAAGCAGAAATAAAATGCAGTTACAAGAAAATCATTTAATGTTACCAGCCTCTAATTGTTCTTTCCCTTCAAACTCTAGACATGATGCTCTTACAGTAATTTATAAGACCCTCTGTCCCATCCTCTCTTTCATTTACTACCCCCAGCTACTTCTCTACTCTGTGGATATTTTCCCCAATATACAGCTTATTCCCCACATACATATATTACTCCTTTACACAGAAAACCTTTACATTTTGTTCTACTACCCCATACCTCAGACTTCCTCCTTTGAAGACACCTCTTAAATGCTCATCTACTAGTCAGGCCACATGATAAAGAGGTCACCAGTAATACAAAAGGGAAGAGAAACAGCTTCTTCTGATTTGAAGAAGTGTTACAATTCTGTTTATGATGTGGATAACATAAGGAAAATAATATCCTGTTTTGCATAAAAGATTTCTTAGTGCTTAACAAAGGTACCAGACTGTCAGTCCTGCAATACAAAAAAAACCTATCACCTCCATGCTGCCAACAGCAGTGAGAGGGAGTACAACCTTCAGTCTAGTCGATCTTTTGCTTCTCCCGTAAACCTACCAATAAGGGAGCCAACCAGCGCCATCTGGGACACTGGCTTCTCTGATTCAGTCACTCGCTTACACCATGAACTGAAATAAGACTTATTTTGTCCTTTTTAACTTGGGTTGCTGAATACATTGGATGATATCTTTCAACCATGGCTTACTGGGGCTAGATCTGAATTGTGAGTACCTCAGTATTCCATTATAATTTCATAATCTGGGTACTCTGGCATTTGAACCTTATGACTATTTTTCCTTAGATACTGGAAAGCAGAAAACCAAGACAGAAGTCATGCTCAGGATCAGTGTATATTTCCACATTTTTTATTCATGGTTAATTTGAAAACTTATCATCCAGAATGTAAAGCTTAGTTGTGAGATAACAGACTGAAGAGATAAGGACTGAAGGGTCATGAAAAATGGACTTTCTTTTTAATCCTAGATCTGGCCCTGCCACGCATTTGAAAGTATGGTTTATTACTGCTTGTGCTGGGTCTATAATGTACCACTCATTCCCTTCTTTGGTTACTAGTCATACATCCTTTTCTAGTCTTGAAACAAGATAGTCAGACATATTCAATGTTAACTCAACTGGCCCTCTCTCCCTACACCATCATATGATCAAAGATAGAAATGAGAAGCCATATTCCAAATGAACAAATTAACAATCAAAATATTTTGAAAGGGAACCCTGAAATCCAAGCAACTGTTATAATGGCCGTTAATTCTCTAGAAACATTCAGTTCTCACCTATACAAGGTACACAAACACATTTTGAGGACACTGCCACATTACTCACCTGAAGGTAATGTTGTTGATTTAGGTGGCTCGGTTGGTGTAGTTTTACTGGTACCGGGGCTTAAAAGTTTTACATAGTTAGCAGGAAACCATCCTATCTGTCGCTTTTTCCCTCGTGCCTAGTAAAAAAATAATTCTTTTAAGATTATTTACACATGTGAACTCAGCGTACATTTGAATTATTGTTTGAAGGTACATTGACTCCTTCAAAACAGACCAAATTATTTTTTAAAGAAAAAAACCACCTAATTTTGTATTCAAAATGTAATAGTATTTGACCTTCCGCTGTGAGAAGCAATCTTTCAGATTCTCAACATTTTTTTTTTTTTTTTTTGCTACTAATTTGTTCTTTTTCTATTTAGGAAACATTGATTTCCCCATAAAATCATAGGAAGTTGGGCCGGAAGGGATCTTATAAGGTCATCTAATCCAGCCCCCTGCTCAAGACGGGACCATTCCTGACTAAACCATCCCAGCCAAGTGTCTATCCAACCTGCTTTTGAAAGTTTCGAAGGATGGAGATTCTACATTTTCTTCAGGTAGCCTGTTCCAATGCTTGACTTCAGTCAGAAAGTTCCTCCTAATCCCCAACCTAATTTTCCCTGCAGCAGCTTGAGGACATTGTTCTTATCCCTGTCTCCTATAGCTATAAAGAAAAGTCCATCTCCCTTATCTCCATAATCACACTTCAGGAATGAAAGACTGTTATCAAATACCCGGACCTCCCTCAGTCTTCTTTTTTCTAGGATAAATAACCCTAGTTCTCTCAGCCTTTCCTCATAAGTCATGCTTCCCAGACCTCCGATCATTTTTGCTGCCCTGCACTGGACTCTTTGCAAACAGTCCATGTCCTTCTTGCAGTCCACCTCCGACCCTGCACTGGATCTACCCTGAGCCACTCATCTGGCTTGTGGGGCCAGGCATTTGAACACTACTGAGCTAACAAACTCCAGATACAGCATTAGAAACATGTGATGCATGAAGATTTACTGATTTCTCCAAAATTTTGACCAGTGCTGAGACAGAAGAAGTGTTCGATGTTTTAGTTCAGATATCAAAATTGGGTGTTTATAAAACAAAAGCATCCTAGTACGATTCAAAAAAAGAAGTGGAATGGTATATAGATATCCAGAATATTCAGAGTTATTAATGCAAGCAAAATAACTAAATCCTATAGTTCTTGGTTTACCCTAGTTTAAAACTGGAGACTAGGACAAAACTTAACACTGGGGCAGATTACACATCTGCCTACCGCAATGTTCTCACACCTTCCCCAAACATCTGGAATTGGCTACAGTCAGGATGAGGGATCAGACAGCCCATGGGTCTGATCTGATTCAGTATGACAGACCCATTGTTTTTGTAGCATCTATAAATAGCTGTGTTATTTTATCAAAGCAGCTCTTGATACTGAAGGAAATGAAGGAGGAGTCTGAACATAAAAGTTTTTTCTAATTCTAAACCTTTCTGAAACCCACTGTCATATTGACAGCTGCTTAGTATAACTGTTTTTGGCGGGGGGGGGTTCCAAAATACTTGTTTTTCTTAGCTGGATAAAAAACTTTCCAATATACCAAAGTTTTCTGCTAAAAGCATATAAGAAATAGAAAATCTAGTGCATTCTATAAAAGCAGCCATCTATGCAGTATTACATCTTTATCACCTACTCAATCCAGCTTCTTTTTAAATTTGATCTGAAGTCTGTTATTAATTTGTAAGTAGTTCTTTAAGACTTCTTTAAGCCTAACACAATGTAATGTTTCATACTGGATACTTGCATATTGAGGTAGGGCAAGCCACCCTGCCCTGCCTTCTGCCTGACTTCAGACCAATACCTCTCTTTACTTGCATATCAGTTCTACACTGTTTGCTTTCTTTTGTCTGCACACAGTAGTGATCAAATGTTTGTTTCAATACTTACTCAGCCTCTCAGCTAATGACTGTGATTGTTCTTGTTTGTTCTGTACTTTTAGGACAATTTTTAATTAGAAGCAATACACTTAGGTTGCATTTTTTAAGTTATAAAATAAGAGTGACATACCAAGCTACTGAAAATACACAGTGACTGAACCTGATAATGCGTTTTGCAGGGGAAAATATTTAGATTTAAATTATTTCGAATGGGTGAACAACAGAAATAATGTAATTTTGCTATTCTGGGTGATACCTTCACCACAAACATGCTTCACCTTGAGATGTTAGCTTTGTACTAAGATTCACTGAGACAAAGTTTCAGAGACCTCTTTACATATACTTGCTTATTTTAGCAATATTTTATTAAGGATATTTAATTATTTTTAAATAACTTCAACATTTTTCTAACATTGAATACTTTCTTTTGATAGCACTAACTCATTTTCGCTTCTCTTGCATTAAACTGCGCTCATGCTGGGAAGGCTCATTAAAATGATAGTCCCCACTGAGAGACAGTCCCATTCATTAAGTGAAAAACCTGAAATAGTGACAGATACTTCTAAAGCCAGCTGTGAAGATTCTTTTAAAAATAAATATAGGATATAGTCTCTTGAGTTTTCTTTTAGATTGAAATTATAAGATCTATTTCTAATTACAGTTTGCTTGCATTTTTTCCTTTAAAAAGATGGCTTAATCATGCTTAATTTTTGGTCCAAGTCCAATGGAGCAATGAGCGATGCATTTGAAACTGTTCCTCTTCTTCCTAAAGCCAGATGCATCAATCATCTGTTTCAGAGATTTGTAACTGCTGCAATAGTAGATTGCTCTTCAATGGCTTAAACTATTAGTGTTTAGAATATAAGAAATACACGTGATGGATAAAACTACGCCAACATTGCACGTCAGAGAGTCATTCTATATTACGTGGTCTGCTAGCTCTTGATTTACTTACTGAGGAGATTAATGGTGAAGAAAGGACAGATGGAAGAAATTAAAGACAAGATTCACAAAAGAACTTTGTTGTCTAAAATGGGACTCTGGACATTTGCTTCCACCTAAGGAACTATTCACAGAAACCCTGCCAAACTGCCTTGGGCTCCTGAGACTCCCCAGGTGCCTGTTTGTGTCAGAAAACCTACATAGGCATCTACAGTTCAGCAGTGTGTCTACTCCTCTCTCATGGATTAAGGTCTTTTGGATTCATAGACTACACATCATTGTGACTACATCCCCCCAAAGGGCCCAATACAGTAGAGGCACACTCCAAGCATGTCTAATACACACTGGAAGCACTGAACTCAGCATTCGCTGGCACTTCCATTCAAAGTGTGAGTTTTGGTCCCTGCTCCAGGGACTGCTGATGTATTTTGCATTAAAGTATGCTTGGGTAAAAATGCATAAACAGCACTGGGAACAGGGATCAAACCCTGAGGACTCCCCACTTCCACAGGTATGTCTTCCTCAACTGTGCTAGAAAGTCATCTTCTTTCTTGTCTTTCTTTGGGCTCATGAATCTTTCACACCTATCTGCACAGCCAGATTTGAATGGACAGTGCTCATTCCCAGACTAGCTTGTAGCTAGATGGTGACTAGAGCATTTTCCTGAAAGGTGGAAGATTTAGTTATGAACTTCCTGACCTGTGAACTTGGGTGGGTGCGGAGATACTTGGCCACATCAAAACTTGGCCACAGGTGAGCTAATTAGCCCTGTCACTCAGCAGAGCTATGGGAAAATGGTTACACTGCTTCTGGTTCAGGAGGTAGCTCAGAGCAGTACAGTATATTTGAGGGTGCCACTGCCTGACACAACCAGTCTGTAGTGAAGGCATGTTTTTAGGCACCCAACTTGGGTTTATGAATTCCATTCCCAAATTTGGTCGTCACACTCCTAGGCACTGGAATGCTCTGTATTACCACACATTTGTGAACCTTACCCTAACTACTGGACTGGAGACCGACTAATTTTCCCAATGGAAGAAAGAAAAGAAAAGTTTAGAATGCCCATCCAGACCAAAGGAAACTGAGCAAGACTATCTGAAAAAACAGATTTGACTTAAAAAAAAAAATCTCTTTTTGCATCTTGCATCTTTCTTTTGCATCTTGCACCTATTGCAGTGGCTCCCAACCTTTTTTTGCCACGACCCTAAATCCTGGTCGTGACCCCTGCTGCTGACTTACTTATGCCCGGCGGTGCCAGCAGAGCCTGGGCCAGGCCGGGATCATGGCAGGCAGCGGCGGTGAGAGCCCTGCAGGTGGGAGGGGAGGAGTGGAGCGAGCGGCGGACCTCCAGCAACCCTGATTTGGGTCGCAACCTGAGGTAGGGAGCCAACGACCTACAGTATAGCAAAAGGCCTTGCTTTTACCTCTGGTGATATATTTTCATAAGAGCCAATGTGTGAATGTGTATTTTTGTAAATAAGTTAACTTGTAATATCTCAGATGAACAATTAGTAATGACATTTTATACTTCAGAAGGATGAATACATTAGAAGATTTGGATAAACAATTTCATAAAACCAAAAGAAGTCACTAACCTGAAGTTCTCCTTCCCACCATCCACCTGGATTCTTTTTTCTGATGAGAATAAGTTGACCAGGAGCAAGGGTAAGTTGTTCAGGACCCGTTGCTGTGTAAGAGGCAATAACCTGGGCAATTTCTGTTAATTTGAGAGAAAGAAAATCTGCCATTTACTCCTAACCTGAAACCATGGAACCATATCCTAAGTTATTATGCAATATTTACTGTGTCATGTGGCATTAGACCAGTAGGTCCATTATATACTTTTTGTCATCAGATTGTTTTTTATTTTTTACTTTAGTTTCTACTATTCAAGTCTGTGGAGGCACAAAAGTCAAAGATCCTGCTCCAAAGCATTCCCAACAACTTAACAAAACAACAGGAATAGTTGAATAGTCCCAAAAGAACATTGTGGACATGAGAGAGATAGACAGGGGATAGAGGTTTCAGAGAGTGTTGATGACAAGAACAAAGACAGAGCTTTAAGCCAGTTAGGGTGGTAATAAGACAGCAATGAAAGGCAGGGAAATGTTAAACACAACCATTGCATTTTGCAAGGAATATTTTTATGACACTAATTTGGACAAACTTCACAAAGGAATAAGGACATTTTGGAAAAGCCACAATGGAAGGGTTGCAATAGTAAAGATGTGAAATAAGCAATGCATGAAAAAGGTTCTAATGGGAAGTAGACAGGAAATGAACATTTTGGAAGGGAAGAGGCAGGATTTATGAGGAAGCAGGTATTTAATATATAATTTAACAATTCTTGATAGCCTTGTCTGCATGTTGTTTGCACAGATAGCCACTTCTGCACGGAACAGTCAGTCTTGGAAAGGTTTAACTTTTCTAACACACCAGAAATGGGAGACTCCACAGGAGAGGTCATACCCACACATTTGCAGATGTGTTTCTGCATAAAACAGCAGGAGGTGACCAATGGTAGAGAGGCATGTCTAAGAACCAATGATACAGAACTGAGAATTAGGGAAGCTATGAATGTGAATGACATTTTACTGGGGCAGTGTGGGGAGACAGGAAGACTGGGGGCTGAGAATTTAGGGAAAAGGAGCAAAGTAGTTACAGAAAAAAAAGGAAAAATCGTAAGAGGTGTCATGCAGGCAGAAGAGAGGTTTTGAAGTTAGCAAATAAACTGACACACAAAGAATAAAAGAGAGAGCATGTGTTTCTGACCAGCAAGAGTTTAGTAGAAACTTAAAGCGGAGACAATGTATTATAGAAATACAGGGCGGGGAGGAATGGGCAGGGGTGGGGGCAGAGAATCAAAAGGGGAAGTATTCAAAATGAGTAAAACAAGATATTCAGAATGAAGAGAGAGACTGACAGCAAGGACTTGAGATTGTGGGGAACAATGGCATATTTAAATAGAAAGGAGAGAGGATAAAAGCGAGAGGCTGCTAGGGAGGAGGGCAAGGGCAGCTGGAAAGGCATAGAGTCCAAAGGGAGAGGTTGATTGATGAAAAGGGGAAGACTTCAGGGCTGCAGGTGGTCTCCAGGCACAGCTTATGAGACGTGAAAACAGCAGGGTGCAAGAAACATTTTTTTTTTAGTCAGTTGGAAAATGGCAATAGGCAAAAGAGTCCTAGGAAGAGAATAGCCAATGGCTGTTGGCTTCACTCTGTGAAGCTCAACATTCAGCTACTGCATGGAGAAGCAGGAAGTTAAAGCTCTTCACAGAATGTTTTCAGAAAATAAAGAAATAGCTTTATAACATTCAGAATGTATTCTTTATGATTACTAAATGTTGGACATATGAGAAAAATTCCAATATTTTGTGCCAGTAGTGCACCTATATAGTACAAGGGCACAACATCCTTCTCTGAATAAACTCCTTCACATCATTTCTCCTTCAGCTCTTGCATTGCTTCTGCAAATTCAGGAAGCAGCTATTTCTATTCCCCCACCCATTAACAGTTTCTGCTAAGAATACCCAGTCTTTCTGCTGCTCCTCTATTTAGAGTAAGTAGTGAAAACACCCCAACCACCTCACCAAATTTTTTTACTTCCTCTTGGGTGGGCAGTTAGAGGTAAACTACAAAAAAAACTGCTGACACCTCCGTGCTTAGAAATATGCAGGGCCACCCCTCAGCTCTGTGGCATACTTTGAAGCAAGCTGTACAGTACCCCAGGAAGGCAGCCATAACCTAGACAGGGAGTGAATTTCAGCTAGGGATCTGCTATTACCATCAATCTGCAAGTGTGCATTCACTTCAGACAACTGTATTTCTGAAACCATGACCATTTAAAAAGTACAATGGTGAAACTTTACAAAATCCTAAAATAGCGGGCAACAGTCTCAAGAATGTAAATGACTAAAGGTAGCAACACAGAGAGAAAAACCAGCATGAACTCACTAAATACTTACAAGGGAAATTTAAAATCTATTTAAGAAGCAAATAATACCATTTAAAAACAAAAATGGTGCCATATTCAATAACTCACCAGGTTTCTTTCCTAAACTTCCGGTCTTTCCAGCAGTTCCAGGGACCTTAAAAGAGGGAAAAATATGATTTGTATACATTCATATATTTATTGCTATGGTATAATAAATGATTTGGGGACAGTATTTTGCAAAACAAGGATCTGAATAATTAGCAACTCTCTCAACCAGACTCTATCCTCAATAATTCTCAGCATCTCTAACAACAATCCATCCATCTATAACAGTAAGTGTGGATTAAAAAAGGCACATCATGAAAATAGCTGATTTGATATGGTAAATTTTGTGGGCATCTATAACACCTCCCCCCTCCCAAACACAGACATATCCTTCCTGCCCTCATGGATTGCAAATACCAATGTTTCTCAAATTATGTAGCTTTTTAACTGCAATTGCAAAAATCTCTGGAGTGTATATTTCAAACTGTTTTGAAAGAGTAGCAATAACTGAGATCTTAAAATAGGTCCAAGGAACAAGTTAGAAACAACCACTTTTGTATTGCTCTTATCCCAGTTCTGAAACTTCTTCCAGAGGTAAATCATCATACCCAAAGAAGTCTTTCATTATCTAAGACGAGTTATGGGTCAAGGTATATCACATCCACTACTCTCTTCCCTTTCACAGAGGCTGCCAATTAACCATAGAAAGAAATCAGTAGGGGTGCACCAATAAAGATTTTCTTGGCCGATGCCGATGGCTGATTATTAACCA